CCTGCACGCACTGGATGGATTCTTAATCTGCTCTGCTGAAGGCTCCCAATGTGTTCCATCATTTGGAGCCAGATATTAATATTCATACTCATGTTGATTAGTACCCGAGATCAGATTGAATTTAATGAGATTTCATTTCTCTGTTCCTCTGACTGAAAAGGGGGGAATATACAGCACCCTTTCAAAATGCTTTCAGATCTAGGGATGAAAGATGCTCTGTAGATCTAAAGAGCACTGCTCCTTTGAGTGGCTAATTCCATGCAGTCTCATTCATAGCTAAAATAGGTCTCAAAACTGGGTAAAAAAGAAGGCAATTTCCAGTACCGGTGCTACGTACCTCAGTCACCATAGTTAGTCCCAGAAGATAGCTAAGGAAACATACTATAGCGATGAAGATTTCCCGTCGGTAACCCTTCCTTAGGAAGGATGGGTGCAGATCAACTAATGACGTGATCTGTCCTTCAACTTCAACAAACTAAAGGGGAAAAAACAACAAGAAAGAAACGTGACTTGAAAATTACCCGCCATGCATTTTATCCGGGCTCATACTTGACCAAAGGCTCCACAGCAAACCCCTGACTGTACTCCGTGGCAAAATGCTGCTCCGAATAAATACCTCGGAAGCCATTGCTTTGTAACCCAGAGGCTGAAGCGTGGGGGTAGTTCTCAGGTTGGAACAAGCTTTCAGAATTGCCGTTCATTTCCTAGCAGCCTTACAAACTAGCAAAGGGGCTCAGTAAATGCAAGCCGCAAGGATAAAGGAACTTAATTTGATGACAGGAAGGCACTTATGTGGCTTTTATGTTGTAGCTGTTCCAGATGAATACAAGATGTATGCTAGAAAAGAGGCAGAGAGAAACACTCAAAAAAGCCTAAGCTAGGAGAGCACCTCCCAGCCTTTTTTTGATGTGCCAGAAAACCTCACAGGTACTAGTCAGGTTAATTCCACAATTGGATATAATCCTACTCTTGGGTCTGCTCGTGAAAATCCAGCCAAGGGAAAGCAGACTTTGATGTGAAATATCAGCACTTCTTGACTGAACTTGTCTTTTCTGAACCTGTGAGCAGAGTACCTCCGACGGAGGCTCTGGGGTACTTCTGCAGCAGGAACCAGGAATGGAGCTGTTGATACAGCCCCCGTACAAAGATCTGGTAAACTATTTGCATGTGTAAACCAAAAATGAAGCTCTGCATAGATGAGCTAAAAATCTCACTTTATCTAGCTTCATGATAACTGTATTTGTACTTGACGTTGAAAAACTACATGTGTAACCTGAGGAAACCAAACAACCCAAACTGGATTTGAATAAAAGTTTAAAGTTAATCGAAAACCAGATGCATTTCACCCATGGAGAAAAGTGACTACTGAACTGCGCCTAAACAAATCCGAGGAAGGGATCATTCATTTGATCTGTACTTTCAGCCTGGCAAGGTACAAAAGCACCAAGTTCACCGAAGACATGGAGAACCAAGGCTGCCTCTGTAGAGATGATCTTCACTTTAAGTGGATACATCATCTTATAACTAATGAGTTATCACAGGGAGTCTTTGAAATAACATTATTTCAAGAAAAGCTACCTTTTCCTAGCCAGTATCTATATTGCTCTTACAGTGCCCACAAGTGCCCTGTAACAACTCTACCCTCTTTGACCACGAGCTGCAGCTCCATTTTGGAAATACAGGCTGTCCTGCAAACACTGCACCAGATTTTGTTGCCTCCTGTCTTGTTACTTTGACTTCTGTAAAACTGGTTTTCTTTTTAAATGCAACCCTTTCCTTTGGGCTGATTTGATCTTAAACTGCTCCGGCATTCCAGAAACCTGCTTGACTGCACTCCAAAAAAACAGAGGGGTGGAGGAGAGAAATTAAGCGCTCCAATTAGTTTTAATCATTCTACGCAATGAGGAGCTTTTTAAAATTACTAGACAGCTTCCAATTTGCATAAGCACAGGGTTGTTGAACCACGGCGTTGGGCACTTTTACATTTACTTTGGAACGATTGAAAGTTGCTCACTAGAGTTCAAAGATTAAGCCGTGAAGAGCAATTTAGGGCAAATGGAATATCAAAAATGTAAGAGATTAAGTACACAACAACTGGGTAAAAATCCATTTACAGCTCTCTCCTCATACGAGCCAGCACTTAGGCTAAGTGAACCTTTCATCCTTACCAACTGGGTTTTTATAATCTTAGTGGCTTTCCATCTGAGTGCAGGAAACTGCCTGTTGCCCTGAAAACTTTGGCAGTTTTGAATGTGTAGTTACTGCATAATCCCTGGTCACCCATGTTTCCTTGTAAGTGGACTATCTAGCAATGATTTATAGGTTCTTTGGCAGTATTTAGTCTAACATTCCTATGAGCAACCACTGGGAAAAATAACCTAACTTCTTGGACTGAACTTCTTTGATTTTTTTCATGCTCGCTAATTAATAGCAGTGTGTGCTATAAAATTAGTACAGCTGGAACCCAAGACGCTTTCTGGCCTGTTTGGAGGTACTGAATGTGCACTGGTGATGTGAAAGCTGCTCAGCAGCTCCCAGCCTAAGGCCACCGAAAAAGGCTGTGGCTTTGTCCTCTGACTGTTTATGAAGCCATCCTGGATACACTGTACAAAACATTTTGTGCTTTTTCTGGCTCACAATGGCTTTGCTTTTCTTTTCTGGCACTTGGCAACTATCAAAGCCTGTATTCCGAGTAGTTATTAATTCCTACAAAGTGTTTTAATGATGGTGTATACACACGGCAGGTGATCGCAATGGCACAAAGCATTCTGCGTAACAGACTGAGTAACAGTCTTTTACGTTTTAAAATGATTAAGCTCTTCTCCAAAGTAGGAAAATACTGCACCGCGACCAAAATGGTGGTATTTTGCGGCCAGACTGGGACTGATATTTAGGTTAGGGAGTACTGCCGTAGTCTTGGGGACTCCATTAACTCCTGATGACAAAGACTTACTGAGCAACATCATACTGACTATCAACCAAGAGATTCATCAAATGCAGCCCCTGCACTAAAAAGCAACCCAGATGAATTCCTCTTAAGCAGCATTAGAGGTATTCTCTTCTTAACTCATGCCTGTAAAACCAGCTTTTCTCAGTCAGCAGCACCAAGACAGTAAGCCATGCATCTCTTACCCATCGTACTAACCTGGCTATCCAGTCCAAGCAACAGAAGCATAATAAAAAAAAGGATTGCCCAAAAGGTGGGCAGTGGCATCATGGACACAGCTTTTGGGTAGGCAATGAAGGCCAGGCCTGGACCTAGAGAAAGAGAAAATAGGAAAGGGGGAAGGGAAGAGAAATAGTAAGTACCAGCTCTTTGGTAAAGGCAGCCACACTCAAATGCAGGAATGTTTTTAATGCCTTGTGCCGTTCAGATAAATCCAAACGCGGCTGGAAATACCAGAAGTGAAAGTTTGGCTCTTTTATCTGAAATCGAAGCACGCAGGACTACAGCAGAAACCACAGGCAAACCCCGAGGCCATTGCTAACAGATCGCCAGTTTTAACATCTGTCTCAAACATGCCAATAATGGAGGTGGTCCTACACCTGCCCTGCTTGGACACAGGACAGTACTGGGGCCGGGGGGAGAAGGGGTGACCCAGGGGAATGGCAGAATCCCACTGCTAGCCCACATGGTCACGATGAAGATGATGATGATGAAACTCTTTTGCATGCAGGGAAGGGACTCTGATCCAAACTCTCCCCGGGATCTTTGCTAATGCAACCTCTGCCTCCCTCTGTATGCAACCTCCAAACCCAGCATGGCTTTTCTAGAGCGGGGTTTGCCCTCCAGGAATCTGCTCCTTTGCTTCTGCAAACCCTCACTGCTGCGCTGAAGTGATCAGGCTACTCCTAGTTCTATCAGCTGTGAGCCCTGAAAAAAATGCTTCCTGCTGTTAGGAATTGTCGGTGTGTAAAATCACTCCGTGTAAAATCACTTCCCCACGCTGGCACATCACCTGTCCCTATCCGGCCAGCCTGGGCAGACCTGCCACAGTGACGCTAATATTACCAACATCAGCCCCAACTGCAGGGTGGATTGTGACAGTCTGGGAGCACCAGCGGGGCTGGGACTAGAGCCTGGCTTCTCTGTTCTGGAAACCAAAGCCTTGTTTGCAAGGGCTCATCGCTAGACTGGGTCTCGTCTGCGCCGTGGACCAGACGGCATCTCACTCATACTCACACACCGAGCATACGTGCAGTGCTCTCGCATGCTGATCTCCAAAGGCGCTCTCACCTGGAGCCAGGTGCTATCAGCTATCGCTTACGAGAGCTTTTGTTGAGAGAGAAAGAGCCCTCTCCAAGTGGGAGACAGGAACACTGGCAATCTGGCATTTACGGCAGGCTCTCAAAGTGGCCGTAGAAATTTTGTGAAGCCGACAAAAAATTCTGAGGGCAGATTTAAATTCAGATTAAACCTGGGAATGCCTGGCTCATCTGCTTGTTTGTTTTAAGGAGCCTCAAAACCCAGCATTTTCCAGGATTTCCAGTGATTCAAGTAATTTTCAATAGGAAAAAGAATTTTTTTAAACTGCTGCAGTGCAGGGACAGAAATCTTATCTCTGATCTGTACAGAAAAATCTCTAACACTGCTCTTCCTACCTCCCACTTTTCCTTTCCAACAAGAAAGATGGAAAAAGAAGCAAGAGAAAGAGGTAAAAAAAGATTACTTTTTTCAAACTAAAGAAAACTTTAAGTCACTGAAAATATTTGAACAGAAATAAATACAAATTAGCCAACAATCGAGCAACTAATTTTATTTAAAATGAAACACAACTAAGATTTTATATGACAGAAGATACCAAAAAATTGGTGAATGTCTCAAATTTTGGGGGGGGCTTGCTTTTTGCCCCCTAATTCAGCAGATATAGTAGATCCTCCCTGAGGGAGAACTGCTACCAGATGGCATTTGCAGCTGATCTGTGCAATTGATGAGACAGATGTAAAACTGCTCTCCTCAAAACTCGCTGCAATTCTGTATGCTTTGGCCAGTGAAGCTGTCCTTGCACTGTGACACAGTCTAATACCAAGTGCCCTAAGCCCTGTGCTAGCTTTGGTTTTCCTTTGAAACTAAGTGTTGAAATACAAAGAGAAAAGTCCATGTGAAAGAAAATGTTCCTGGCATCCCCTCGACTGAACATAAATAATCTAAAATCGTATTTAATTTGAAACTCTGAAGGGTGTTTTGCAAAAGTGAAGCACTTGTGGCTGCTATTAAGAGCCAATTAGGACTGCCACAATCCCAGCCCACTCGCTGGCCGTTTGCCGGCAAAGTGCTGCGGCACGGCTGGAGACGCGCCCCGGGAGCAGAGCGCTGCGGAGGCAGAGACCGGGCAGGCATTAGGAAGGCCAAGGCACTATAGTCGGGCCTGCTTAATCTGAATTTGTTTGCAACTGGATTTTAAAAATAGGCAGATCTTGGGCTGTTTTAACACTGCTATAAATTGCACAGGCGGTAATGTCCTTCTTCCAGCCAGAGATGCAGCACAGATTAGACAGGACTCACTATGGCTTTGTTGAGCCTCCACTGCTTTCCTCTCTCCCTTTAAAAGTATTTCTGAAAAAAATCAAGTGCTATTTATTAAAAGTCTCCTTTCACTGGGAAGTCAAAGGGGTCTAATGTAACTATTGTGTAAGCCTAAGCCAGTGAAGGCCGGCAACAGCAACCAGTGCTTTAAGTGGGAGCCACCCCTCGCTGACGAGGGTGTCCCAGGAACATTGCACCAAGGCTGGATTTGGCACAGGTAAAAAATGTGGCCATGAGATTCTGCTGTCAGCAAATTTGTTGATGTTCCTCTGGCTTGCACGAGGGCAAACAAGGAAACAAATGGTGTCATGCATAGGGCAGGAGGGACTTAACTCGCTGGGCAGAGACACAGGGGGGAGCAGGAGGTCTTGGCCCCGTGGACAATGTCCTCTCCCTGGTGCTACGGCCAAGCGGCAGCGCCTCTGTTCACCTTTTTCCTGACCCAGGGGAGTGATTCTGACCTTGCGTCATACGAACTGCTGAACGTCCCTGCGCTGAGAAGGCAGCAGCAGGGCAGCAGCGGGAGCCTCCCCCACGGCCCCGCACGGGTCCTGGGACGCTCATCCCAGGGGGACCAAGCGGTCTCCAGTGGCTCTGCACTTGATCTCTGCTGAGAAAGGCAGCGAGGAAACCCATGGGAAGTGGTCTGGATAATTTTGGTAATGTTTACTGTCATGTAAAAATGTCCCTTAGGATTTAGCCAAAGACCAGCCAGTGGTGATGGGCAACCCACTGAGCAGTGAGACGGTTGCAATCTCTGGCCATTAGCGACTAGGGCTGAATTTAAATAAAGTAGAAAACCTGAAGGAATTGACAACAAAATGTGCAAGAAACCAAAAACCAAGTTCAGAACCTAATCAGTGCCCTCATTGTCCCTATAATAAGCTATAAAATCCCTCCTTTAAAAAAATGCTTTTTGAGCTGCTCATGAAAAAATGCTATGTAAACACTAAGTCTGTCAGTTAATTTGTATTCAAACATTACTTAATAATCCAGTGTTACTATAAAATTGTTTAATTCTAAAAATGTCAAGCAACAGGAATATAGCTGCCTGTTTATCAGAGATTTAATAATAAAAATCAGAATAAATATCGACCAGATAAAAACCTAATGTGGAAATGCTTAAAAATGCTACTCTTGGAATTGATCCACCTACATATTAAAAAAAAAAAAAAGGGCCTATTTATGATTCATTCAATAAGATTATTCCCTTGCTTCCTGTTTTCAAACACAGCAATCAACCTCCGATCAAAATAAGCATTATGGCCAAGACTGTTAACTAATTACACTTGTGAGAGGTATGCCAATTGCAGCCACCCAAGAATCCAGCGGTGCCACCAGTGTCATTAGGTTTTCATTAGCCCTTGTGAAGTGAGAGATTTTTCTTAAAGGCTTAACTCCCAGAGCCAGGTGATCTTGACTTTTTTTTTTAATCGCATGTTTGCAGAGGAAAGCTTTCAAATACTATGCAAGGTGAATTAAAATTGCTCAGAAAAATCAGAAAGAAATGCCAAAAGTGCACTCAGGTGAGATTGTTATTACTTGAATCTGATTAGCTTTAAGCCTCATGGCTGTCGAGGCCTGACTCATTATTTTTGAATGGTAATTCCCATCTAATCTGTCTGTTCTACCTGAAAACACATGGTTACACCTGCCCTCACGGACAAGACATGCACAGAGGAAAAAATGTCATCTCTTTTATCTGAGATACATTCACATGCTATGAGGATTTAGCCTTCTTCAGCTGCAAGTGCGTAGCTGAATGTTAATGGGAAGAACACTTCTGAAGTAAGGGAGGAACCTAAGCGTACACCCAGTTTCAAAATGGACTTCTCACAGTTCTGTCAACCTCACCCTGAAGCTACAGAGGACAAATGCAGGACTGCAACAACTAGAGTTCCTGTGGATGAAATGGTGCACAGAACCCAGGAGATGGAGTTCTCCAACTCTCTTGCCTTTCAGTGAGACTTGGGAATATATGTATGTCCCTTCCAGAGGCCAAGGTAATATTCCCACTGCAGCGCTCTGCTGTGAGCAAGCAAAACTAAGCTATGAAAAATACATAAACACTGGCTATTTGCATTTGAATGAAAATAAAGGTAGTCTGAAAAGAAGGATGGAACAAATTTTTGAATCAATGACATTCTGGACCCTAGATAATGGAGTGGTTATCTTAACTCTAATCTCAACTCAAATGGATTAGCACACTCTAGGAAATGTGTTCGCTGCCCTGTTAATCAAGACAGAGTAAACAATACAACCCCAGCTAACCCTCTCTGCTCTAGATGAAAGCCCAAATCAACAATGTGCTTATTTTTCTGGAGATTATGGGAAATCTTGTTCTGTTTTTATTGCTTAGATGTTAGCTGATTGAGTCTGCAGAACTTTGCTCACACACTAGGCGGCAGTGCCCACCACCACTGCCACCAATACCATCGTACCTGACTCTGCCACATCAGCAATGTTCACCCCTTGCTCTTGTGCCATGAAGCCCAGGACGGAAAAAATTGCGAAGCCAGACACAAAACTGGTACCACTGTTCAGGCATCCCAGCAGCAAACAGTCCCTAAGTCACACATATGTCATGGAGCAAGTTAATTAAAAAAAAATTAACCCATTGTCCCTACTTTATTTACATCATTTAGCTAAAAAACTAAACCCCCTTGGATGGAAACTTGCCTATAGCAGTTGTATTTGTACTTGTTGTAGCTCCCCAGGGAAGTCATTGCTCCTAAGCAGATTGCATATGAGAAGAAGATTTGTGTCCCTGCATCTATCCAGACCTAAAGGGAAAGACAGAGAGACTGTTATCACGGCATCATTGCATTGCAACACTCAACGCAAACACACAGTTCAAACTATGCAAAATCAACAAAATAATTGCTTCCATTGAGGGTGATAGCTAAAGGATCAGGGAGGGAGGGAAAGACAACATCACATTTGCAAGTTTGGCTTTTATAGGGAAAAGAAAATGGTTAGAAAATTGTCAGAGCCTACAAGAACATCATCTCTCCAACAGTTCCCATATCCCCTCCCCAGAGATGTTCAGTATTTCTAGTTTCGTAGTCATTCAGCTGATCCTTCCTGTTGGCGCAACAATAAACGTGTTTCAGTGCAATAGGAAACGCAGAAGTATTTATAACATTGCTCAGGTCTGTTGTAACTCATTTCAGTTAGAATCAGCCGACAGAGTCACTAAACTGAGGATGTGAAAAGCTTGAGAAACAGGTTTGTGTATTTGGTTTGTTTATTTTTCTAGCTTTCTGGTTGTTTTTGTATCTGTTCAAATGCAAGATAAAAAGCCACAGGGATGGGGGGAAAACAAGCAAAATACAATGCGCTTTACAAGATAGGTATCTGATCTCGGTCTCATGATTCTTTCTCCTGATTACATTAAAAAAACATATACGGAGTGAAGTAACAGTACACTATCAACTTCTAAGTTAGTAAATACGTAGCAAGTTGTCAAAGTGCATCCATTGAATCCCATCTGTTCCCTTCTTTCTGCTAATGGAAGTCTGCTAACGCCAGTAGAAACCACCAAGGAGTCTGAGTAAGCGAGAATGAAGACTGTAGACCATTACCTCCTCCCTCCCACCATCGCTTTCCAGCACCTTGCTGACTGGTGTCTCGCTGGAGATGCTGCTTTTGCTAGGCCGTGGGAGGGGGCCTGCCAGCTCACATGAATCTCTTCTGCATTACTGGCTGATGCTCTGGGCTTAGGGCTAATAGCAGATCATAAAAATGATAGAGTCCCATAAAAGAAGATTCATTCATATAATATAATGTCTCCTGTGGAGAGGGTGTCTTGTATAGAGAGGGCAAGACTAGAGAATGAACCAGATTTCCACAATGTTTCTTTTGATTACTTTTCCTACTTCAGTTATTAGCTATCATTGGAGATTTATTTTGACCAACTACTCACTAGAAAGAAACAGCAAAGACAGATGTTATTCCCTCTCACTGTGACCAACATTTTGTTATTTTCAAAGATCCCTTGGGTTTTTTTTTTGGGGGGGGGGGTATTGCATTTTTTTTGCATTTCTCATGTGATCACTATTGGCTGAACTGATGCTGGTCTGCTCAAGTATCACGTATTTGCACTCCGTGAGCACAGACAGGAATCTTTATCTAATCACAGCCTATACAGAAAGAGTAAGCCTAGCTCCACCAGCCAGGGCTAAGTGAACAGTAGTTCCTGTGCCTCAGAAAGCATTCTTCTCCACCTTTGCATGGGTTTTCATTCTTCTGTTAATTCATTCACCTCTTTCCCAGTCTCCTCCTATCAAGCAGTGGGAGCTTAGTGACACTGGTACTCACAGTTGTTGTTTGTTGTTCCATCTGTGAAGCTCACGTGTCTCTCCTTTGAAACTAAAGACTATCCTCATTAAAAAAATGCATCTCCCTTACCTTACCAACAAGAAAGCTGAGATTGTATAACAGGACAGAGTCTACAGCCTCAGAGTCCTTTGACACAAAAAAAATACACACGCATACACACACATACATACACATGGAAAGATGCATTAACACATATAACCGTGACCTTCTCAAGCAGATCTCTGGAAAATATAACCCAGCATTAATGTTCATGCTATATTTGGACCTCTAAAGACCGTGGAAAAAAAAATCTATTGCCATTACATCACCACCATCACCCTCCACCATCCCCCTTTGCGTAGGAAATTGTCCCACTCCCCACTCCTGGTTCTGTACCTGTGGGTCAGCTAACCGTGAGATATCAGGATAAAGATAAAACTTGATGCCTTCTGCAGCGCCAGGCAGGGTCACACCACGGATGAGCAGAACAAGGAGCATAATGAATGGGAACGTGGCAGTGATGTACACTACCTGGAAATTAAAAAAAAAAAAAAAAAAAAAAAGGTATGTTTAGTCTGTGGCAATCAATGCTACACCTCCAGAATCAAGAGAGATCTAACGACGGGAATTCAAAGCCCCCTCATACCTAAAAAGGACCCAACATGAGTTTCTCTGTCTATTTTTAGTTTCATGATCTTTACCACCTTATTGCTTTAGGCCTGGAGGCAATGCAGGTTCATTAATCCCTCCAGAGCCCCCCAGGCAGCGGTCACGTCACTCAGAACACGCAGAATCTTATACAACTCACGACTTTCGTTAGAAATTCTGCCTTTGCCCTGTTTGTTCTCCTCACGTGACAAGTGCACCTTCACCAGGGAAGCTGAAGAGATTCCCTTGCCGAGGGCGCCTAAGCCATTACCTCATTCTTTATTTGAACTTAAAAACTGCGAACTGTTTTGCAAGCTCTGCTGCTACTTCTAACTTTGCTGTGCAGCCTTGCTACTGCTGCTACAGGCAATTTCACGAGGCACTTCTTTCAGAGATGAAGATAATTTGGTCCATGCTCCTGCGGCTCCCTTCCCATCACCTTAAACGCATGAAGCCCTCCAGGTTGTCATCAGCCTCAACAGAGGTAATTTCCAGTCCCATAACTTCGTTCTTGCCCTTGCCGCCTATTCAGCAACATCATTATTGGAAACTAAGGCTCTATTCAATCAGTTTTGAGAATATGTCTTCATTATCTTTAACCTCTGTTCCCAGTCTCTTTGAATAACAGCCCACTTCTTCTCTTCTTGTGATTTTCTCATTCATTCAATGAAAGAGCCCTTTGCTTTAATCTCCAGCGCGAGGGTTAATTGAGCTTGCATTTGGACAGTTCTATCTTTAGACCCACACTTTTTGACCTCTACCATTTTGTTTTCTTTGCTCATCAGTGCTTTCTCTCATTTTTTATATAACCACTGTGTTACAGTCAAGAATCACTACTGTCCAAGAAAGGGCTTTTTTCATGGAGTCAGATGATACCCCCAGGTAATTACAGTTTGCTACCATGAGTTTTTGTTTTCCAGGATTTGTTTAACTACAGCGAAGCTCCCGGGATACACCATTTTTCTTCTTAAGTGTGTCCTCTGAGAATAATGAGCAGAACTCAAAGCCTGCATTGCCATAATAATTCATGGAGCTGGACTGATTTCATAAAATGAAAGGAAACCTTTTCATACACGTCCTTTTTAATTCTCTCCTTAAATTTTCTGTATATTTTCCATGGACAGTATATATTACACACTAGCCGGCTTTCACCAGAACTTGAAGGACAAAAGGCAGGTTTCCGTGCTTTCTAATTTTTTTTTAATATAAGCCAGGCTTATGAAAAGTCAAACTTTTCTTACAAGAAAGATATTCCTGGACTTGCAGGAACTAAGTAAACACCACTCACAAAGCGGCCTTTGTGCTGCAGGTAAGGATTCTCTCATAACGCTGGAGGAATTTTTAAGAGCAAGCACATTATCCAAAGCATAAGCACAACTATTATTTTTCTTCATGATTTCATGTTTATTTGTCCAATATGCTACTACGAGATGTAAAAACTATGTGTTTTTTTTTTTTTTTTCCCTCTCTCGAAAGAGCCATTAACACGCTGGAAAGCAGGGAAGTGCTATAAACAACCAGCTACTAAAGTAAACTAGACTTCTCAAATAATTCTTAAGTCCTCCATTAGAGTTTACAGTTTACTTTTGTTTGACCCCAAAGTTAATGGAGTCAACCGGAGACTTTCCAATGGTTTTGTTGGGCTTTGGCTCCACACCCGCATGAGCTCAGATGCTGCGGAGAGGAGGCAGCGAATTCCTACCAACCGCCTTGTCTTAGAAATGAGACCATTTTGCTGCATTTCCAGAAAACACAAATTTTTAGAGAACTGATTTTAACAGACCTGTTTTCAACCTGTTACCTTCACAGGGGCTTGAAATAGTGTACCATAGGGAGCTTGGAGAAATCTCACAGAGCTACTGTAACCTTTACCGAGCAGACACCAGGCTCACCAAAGGTACTGCAGAAATGTGCGCTTCCACTCGGCTACCGCAGGAGATTTACTGCCTTCACCTTTACTATAAAACTTACACAATCACCTCATCGGGTCACATCAATCAGAGGGAACGGAGAAGCAAACATTTTTGTCAATGTATGCTTTAGAGGTGTGGAAGCTGTTCTTTGGGGCGAAGCTGGCAGGAATCCAGGGTAAGGCACCAGCATGATTTTAATGAGGCTCCATGATAAATATCACAGACAGCAAGACAGAAACGACAGTAAAGCAAGTCGTTTAGTCAACAGTGGAACTAATGAGGTCTGGTCTCCTATGGAGTTTTGTCTCCCTGATGATTCTGCAGCATCTAACAAGGTAAAACTGCTAAATGATGCTTTTTCTGTGGCTGAGGCATTTGCAATTGCTCACTCCTCCTGACTTCTCTGGGGGCCGATAAAAGGTGGGTTCACATTGTGGCCTTTCTCTCAGGTGGGACGCTAACGGGGTCGCTCCCTTCCACCTAGGTGACAAGAAATGTGTGGGAACTTAGCATCTTGGGACCTCTTAGATTTATCTGAAATGCTGCCTCAACCAACAGGTTTGAAAGCTAAGAGCCACACATATGCAATGGCTTCAAAAGCCTTTTCTCATGAAACTAGGTTTAAAACCACAACTGTATGCAAGGAGCAAAAATATCATGCTTCATGTTGTTAAGTGATGGACCAAGATTTGCTGTAATTTGTTTCTTGCACTGGAGTAGGATGAGGTTCAGGAATGATTTAACTGTTATCCTTTAGAGAAAAACATGATTCTAAAGAGCACACGATGAGACCAAAACCACAAAATATCCAGGATCTCTGTTAAGGAGAGTGCTTCTAAACGAGCACCTAGAGTTTAGTCTCCTATGTCTGCACAGAGCTCTTCTTTAAGTGAGTGGCATTTCAAAAATGCTACGCATCCAGCAGCTTCCATTGACTTAAAACATCCCTACCACAGCTATGTTAACATCCACCCTGCTGCACTGAGAGTGAACTTGGCTGGTGTGAGAGCACAGACAGGGAGCTCAGAGCACCACACATCGCAAGCCTAAGACCTTCCATGCTCATGACACGCATCAGCGGGACGCTCGTCCTCAGAGAGGCAAAGCGGTACTCGAACCATGCTTGTCTCTGCACCTTGATGCCATTCCAGTAATGGCTACTTGACTCACAGGCATTTTGGGCACTGGCAATGATTTTACGAAGTCAGCTGAATCCGAGGTCCCTCTTTTATTCAGTGCGAAAATACGTATTTTTCAAGGAAATGGTGAATATCTTTAAGAACAGCATTAGTATTTAGTATTCCTAAACATCTGCTAACTGCGATGATTATACAAAAGGTAAAAGAGCACTTACTTTCCCAGTGGATTTGACTCCTTTCCAAATGCAGAAGAAACATATCACCCAGACGAGGAGAAGACACAGTGCTAGATCCCACTTGATAATACCAATATCTTCAATTCCCGATGACAAGCTCAGTACGTTCCGCCTGAATATTTGAAAGGAAACAAAAGAAGAGAGAGATGCAGGAGCTCAGCTGATGCAGGGTCTGGTTGTGATGTCTGAAAGTATACGATGGTGGGTAGGGCAGCAGATGCACGAGCAGATCCCTGTCCTTTGAACACTGCTTGCTAAGTCAGCATGGCTTATGTGAGCAAAGCTGAGCTTTGCAGCCCTACATCTTCCCCAGGTCTGTGGGACTCCTGTTCAATACATTGCACAGCATTTCATTTTAAGCTGTTTTTAGTAGCCCGTGACCACCTCAGGATGAGATAACAACGTATGCTCAAAGCACTGCAGCTTTCACATTTGCTCCCTTGAAGATGCAAGAGCAGCTCAGCCTGGCATTGCCACGAACCCCGGCTTTGAAGCCACGTGGCAGCATTGCACACGATGCCTCCATCACGGACACTTGCGACTGGCCTGCATCCATGTGCTTCTCCTCCTTTTCGGTTCGTTAGTGAGACTGCCGCAAGGAGGAAAGGGAAAAAGCAACGCAGGAAACCATCGACGGCTCTGCAGGGCGAAGGCCGGAGCCATTATCCCTTCTCCCCCCGCGGCCCCCTGCACACAAACACTGCCCGGGCGCGCCGCCGTCCGCCCTCAGCACCGCCGCCACCAGGGTCTTGTTTAGCTAACTCCAGATATTTGGTAAACTTTATTCTGTCACTTAGGTTAATAAATAAAGAGAGATTCCTATCATCAGCTGGGTCTTAAGGGAGCAACATCCAACCATCAAAATACTCTGTTCTTGAAGAGAAAAATTCATGAAGGCTTCTCTCTTTTGGTAATTGCCATGGGTCACTGTTAGATACTGATCTAAAACTATTTTTTTTTACTTTCGTGCAATGTACACTGTCCTCACACACTGGACAGACCCTGTCATACCTGCTACTTACTTCATTTGTCAAATACGTATGAAAGAACAAACTGTTTCTTACTGTTCACTTAGCTAAAACTCCTCTGCAAATGAACCTACTAAACTCTGAAGAGTTTCTGCAAGGTTTTTTCAATCAAGGAGAATTTTGACCTCAATCACAACAGAAATGCCTTGCCCTGAGACTAGAGAAATGACCTTGCTACCTAACAAATTGTTAATTAGATTTTATTTTCAGACAACTCCAAAAATCAGCCACTTTCCTTCACCTAAGTCATGGAGAGTCGAGACCACAGCAGTCTGGGGCGCCGTACCAGGGTCAAGCCCGCACGTGCGGCTTTGCGTGTGGATCCAGTACAAGACAAACCACTGTGGTTTGTTTTTCCCCTGAATTAATTTAACTTTTTTTTTTTTTTTTTGCTGCTACCGAGGAAATAATAGCGAATGAAGTCACCGATGGAAAAATTGCAATTAGTTTTTGGAAAAAAACCCTGGACTGACCAGCTTAATAGGACTCAAACCCTCGTCCATCTGTTTTTGTGTCTCTGTTTGCCAAATTCACTCGGATTACCTGTGTGAATGTGTTCTCACACCAAATGCTTTATTCCCTCTGAACGTGTGTGTATTTTGTTATGGAAAAGGACTAATGGCACCAGACAGGGTAAGTCTGCCCTAATCAGCACAGCTATTCAGCAGTTACGAGAAACCCCTCGGTAATGAATATTTGGCATAAAGTTGAAGTCCTGGTTCACCTGAGCCTAAAGAAACCAGGGAAAAACCCGCTGTGCGTATACAAAAGAAGAAAATACATTTATAAGACGACAAACTTCAGCTGCAACCTTCTGTGGCTTTTTTAAAAATAAATGGCAATTTTCCAATCTAAGGGGCAGTTCATATTAAAAAGGCAACCTATAGAGCTAGCTCTCAAGAAGCCATGAAAAATTAACTGTAAATGCGTTTTGGAGTAGGGAGCTCTCTTACTGCGTTCAGCTAAGGCTTCTTTGCTTTTTATTAGGGAACTAAAAGCAAATGGTCATCTCACCTACAGTTTGCCCCAGCAAGCCTTTTCAAGCTTTTCTGGAGGGCAACTCAGTGGGTTACCGAGAGCCAGATAAGTTACTTTTCTACGGTGAGGCAGCAAGCGCAGTAAGTGATGTGCCGGCTCGCTCTGTCCTGGGTTATCTCGTCTCACAAAGACCGACTACCTCAAGGAATCCACTCAGAATTACCAGGGGAACCTCAGCATTAAAATTGTTTCCTGAAATCTAACCCAACATATTTTTGCAGCAGAAGCACTCGACCTCCATTTGCGATATCCTGAAAATTCAAGTTCAGGAAGGAGCACGAGCCGGGCTATGCTGATAGCTCTTCAGTTTTGTTACACAATCCACTGCTGCTTAGATTCAGCCAAGCCCACTCAACTAACTTCATGCCATTTATGCAAGAAGTTGTTACTAATTCTATTTTATAGTCTCGATGCTGTCATTAACTGTCACTCATATATAATCAACGGGACAACAGGCTGGGGCTGACTCTGTTCTAAACTTGAGTTCTTGAACCTCGTTCATACACTAGTATGTTCCAGTGATGTGCAATATGGAAATGTAATAGGAGCCGTAACTGGCTCTAGAACATAAACAAAAATAAAATGAGGAGAGTTATGCAATCCTTGAAGGATATTCCAGCTCGTTAATCAACTGAATGCAGACAGGACCTTTCGTACCAGGAAAGGCGAAGCACCCTTTCACGTTGGATGGACAAGAATAACTAACGCTGAAGCAGTTGTACCAGAAGACTATTAGAAGGAGAACAGGAAACAATTTTTAGAACTCCCAAGTTTGCCCCCAAAGGCAGAGGCAGCTGCCCTAGATTTTGTTTAGTTTTTGTGTTGCTCCCTTCGGGATTACATGCCATTAGCATGTGATGGTCTTTCTTGGGATTTGGACGAATAAAGTCTGCTGATTACCAAATATTTATAAACACTTGGCCAGCACCAGACAATCAGAGGTTTTGTTCAACCATAATTACCCCGTAATACTTATCCCTTATGTATTAATATGTGTGTAAGCCTTTAAGATTTTGGACTTTAAAATAAAATCTTCAGAAATAAGACCTGAAGCATGTGATACCAAGAGGTAAGTCTCCTGATACAAAGCTAGATTTGCTTAACCCCCTTTTATTGCTGCTCAAGCAAGCATGTGATTTGCACAGAACATTAATTCAAACGAACTGAAATGTCAGGCTGTACTATACGTCCAGCCAGGCTGAGAAGGACACGTGTTATTCAACGCGAAGAGGTTAACGCATCAACGTGGTCAATTATATCTGGGCAGCGTTAGTTTTACAAAGCAATACCGATGAGGACACTACATAAATGTCCCACAATAAAAATGGCATTGGGTTTCAGAAACCAAACACTTGCAAACCCCTGAATTAAATCAGAATTAATTGTGCCACAAAGCAGATGGATGTCTTCAGTTAAAGACTATTTATTGACGTGTCCTGTCGATGCGGGTAGCTGGCTGCCTGGCAGCTGGCATTGTCTATGACGGCAAAGTACCTGAAAGTTCTTGAAATTATTTTTAATTTCGGAACTGTAAAGAATAATAGCATGGCTGGGGAAAAACTGGGGATACTAAATGCTTGCATCATGTAAAAGCTATGTTACTTTAATTACAATAGAGTTGCGTGATCTCTGTCCTTACTTTAAGACAGCGATAGTTGTTTATGCAGACAGAACAGCTATTTTTAATACTTCTGTAAGTGCCGTGAGTCCCGAAGGCAGCTTGGTCTGTTAAGGGCAGCTTCGCTCATGATGAAACAGTGAGCTATGGACAGTATGTCTGTATTAGTAGGACTATGGAGCCAAACTCCTCCCTAGCATGACTCCAGGGAAGAGTTCAGTTCACGATGTTTAAAACTGTGATTTGAGGACAAAAGCTAAAGGGGCTGCAAAAACTGCAAGGAGAGTCGCCTCCACGAGCGCTCAGCGCTGAGCAACCTTTGCTCCCGCTGTGCTACAGAAACAGTAACAGGAAGACGGAGGGAAGGGGAAAGCGCTGTGAGGGTCAAGGATTTGTCCTCCAGCCTCGGGCACCTCCAGCCTCTGTTAGGCTGCGTCTACAGGAGGATTTGGTTCAGCTTGCAGGGGAGTTTTGAGGACAGAAACTTGGTTTCTTTTAGAGGAAACTTAACTAAAAGCTCCATCCCTAACGTGCTCCCATGGGGACATCGTTCCCCCAACCCATCGACAGGCTGCCCTGCCATAAGGCCCTTCACCGCACTACCTGCTGTGTCATTACCCATGGAAAGCTCTGGTGTCCCCTGAGGTCCTGGGACCTTTCTTTTACAACTTGCCTTCCAACTCCCAGCCCTATCTCCTTCTGCTATGGTATCTTCAGTCTCCTGAAGTGGACATGCCACCTGGGGCCCCAGGGAGACAACCTGGCCCATAAATTTGTGCTTTACAGGAGTAGAAGCTTCTGGAGCAGCAGGACAACCCCATGGCCACATCAGGAGGCTGCTAAGCTCATGGCTGCCCCCAGGTACAAGAGGACCTGTGAGCAAAATTACTGCACAAAATTGAAGATGAACAGAGTGCTTTTGAAGTCCTGGGAGAGTAACTGTATTTCAGGGGCAGCACTGTGGACCCATGCTTCTTAGGAAGGCCTTGAGGAGACCTCTGAACATCCTACCAAGCCAGCCACTCATTTGAATTCAAGGCCCTCAGTCCCAAAGTCGTTGTGGGAGAGTCCAAAGAGCGAGAGTTGCTTCCTCTTCTACTGCAACTTGCCTCTAAGTTCCCCTAAAATATCCAAAGGTACCATTTAACAAACCTTTTCCAACTCCCTCCATATTGACAAGGGAGGAAGTCACCTGGGAAAGTACCTGTCACTCAACATGGAACCGCAGTGCTCATGGCAGGATGAAAACGATGGCCCTTACAGCCCACACCCCGTCTCTCACACCAGGCACCGGTGCCTCTTGACAAACTGCTCATCCAAGATCCAATCTGCCCTTTGTATTTTGGCTCTTGTGTTACAAATTTTAGCACAGTTCATATGAGTATTTTTTTCTAAACCTAACGCATGCCAAATAGCTTTGGCATGAACATCAT